GTGTAAAATGGCAAACTTACTTTGTTACAAACGGAAAAATTAAAAGTTAAGTATTGTACTTTGGCATAGAAATACGTACCTCAGAAAATGATTTTTTCGTGCAACCGCGTAACTTGGCATAGATAGACATAGTTATTTCTGTGCTCAACTGTTTTCGATTATAGAGTGGGATTCTGAGTAGAAAAACGTAGAATGACATACTTTCTCCGAATACTTATAAAAAAATGAAAACCAATTTAGAGGAGTTCGGTACAGAAGCGTGTAATAATCATTAGTTGCGCGTACTTTGGCATACTTTCTATACCTAACTATATCCAAGTACGCCATTTTTCGCGTAGCTTGGCGTATAGTTATTTTTTTGTTTAACAACGCGATTCTACACACAGTCGTAGAAGTAAAAAGGCATATTTATGGGTACTTTGGCATAGAAATTTTTCTGCCAGGGTTTCTGTGGATGTCACGTTAGAGACAAACGCTACCAATTGTAAATCAAAACGCGAAACATGGAGCAATATTCACAGTCTGTTTTTATTTTAAAACTGTCTGAAATAATGTCTTAAGATGTTAATACAGTTCTCGGATTGACTTATGACATCTTAAGATTATACTTAACCTCTTAGGCACGGCTAAATTTTGCGCGAGGCTGTTTCTCTGTACGGCAGAGTTCAACGCGAATTACGCGTAAACGATGCAGCATTGCAACGTGTGACGGACAATGCTGTTCTCTACGCGAGCACATTGGAATGAAGTTTTTGATGATTAAATTATAATTTTTCTTAAAGATATGATACACATACTTTAACTTTAACAATTTACTTTAATAATTAATAATACAATTGAGTATTATATATTTTAAAGCACGGTACGACACATAGACCCACGTCACAATCTTCACACTCATAGAACGATCTTCGTTTTTTATATTCTTCTTACCACGCATGTTTTTGTTTATATATCATTTTCGATTTCCGAGTCTGTTCCCAAATTACTCTTCGTTTTCTATTTATTTAAATGAAAAGCAACAATTCATACTTGACATTGGCGTATCAAAAACGAAGACTGTATATTCTGTCTGTATATTGTTAACACTGTTATAAAACGTTGTGAAAGCAAAAAAAGTATGAAACAAAACATATGAAAACGATCATTTAATTCAAACGATGAGCGAATGAGCCACTAGAGTGAGCCACTATAGTGGCGCGTCGTTCAGAAAGATGACATCCGCGAAAGCCATTATAGTGGCGCATCGTGCCTAAGAAGTTAATATTCTTAAATACAAGAATCGAATATGAATATTAACCTGTTTCGCATCATGAAATTGGTATTAAACTTTCTTATTGGTATTAAACTTGTTTAACACACTTTAAATTTCTCTTTCTATAGAAAGAGAACTTAAGATGCATTATGATGTCAAACAAGAAAAGAAATTTTATTTCTTAAGCGACACTTATAGAAAGAAATGGTGGAGATTTAAAGAGAGACGCTTACAAACTGAGCACACCGTGTTATCCCTTCCATCATAATTAAAAGAGACTGATGTAACTGGTATGTGTGAGGTGCTTGCTCGCGCGCGCGCGTGTGTGTGTGTGTGTGTGTGTGTGTGTGTGTGTGCATTCGTGCGTGTATGTATGATTTTAATCACCACTTATTGCATCGCTGTCTTACAAGGAAGATTAAGCAATTTAAAAAATTCAGGAAATTCTGAAACATATGTGCAAATATAGTAGTTTTTCCGTAACATAAAACTATTTTTTATTCGTGCGGAATTAATGTATTATGTTAATATAATATCTTTTCTTTTTCAAGTACATTGTAACTAGCTACTCTATCAAAAGCCAAAATTAAATGTACGATATTTTTATAAAAATAACAATTTCTTTATTCATACTTTGTTTTTAATCGTCTCAAGTATTTTGTATATTCCTTTATGCATATCAAAACTATTTGACTAATTTTAGGTATTGACACACTGTTATTATTACTGCTGCTGTTGTTGTTATATAAAAGCTCATATTTTAATAGTTGTTGCTGTATTGTGTTGATGGATTGTATTGAATTTGCCATTTCCGCTATCTCGCGCAGCCAACGGTATGAGATGAATACCTAGGGAACGCGCACATAGGTGTTTTCGCTCATATTTGAAAAATGGTTCTTTGAAACATAACTATAATATATATATCATTGTTTTCAGGGTCAAATGTCGATTTTGCGATATATAAAAATTAAAAATTTTATAAATAGAGGTGCTGATATGGGTATAAAATAAATAAATAATTAAAAAAAAATTTTTATCCTAAAGTACTTTTGAAACCATTCAAATTTTATTCAAAAAATTTTTTCGTATCTCTTACAGCTTCGACGATATTCGCTTAAATGAAACCAATTCTTTCCAAAAGAATGTTTCATCTCCTAAAACTGTAATTCTGAACGAATAAAAATAATTTTGTGTAACGGATGAATTACTTTACATGTATACATAATTTCAGAATTTTTTGAATTTTTGAGTTGCTTATTATCTCTTGTTAGTTTTTTGTTAATTATAGGCTTTGTAACAGCAGTTTTGCTGACGGCTAACTATCTGCAAACTGCTTTAGTTTGTATCATATTGTATCATATTTTATGTTCATATCTATTACTTTGTTTGAACTTAATCTTTTTCATAGAACAATAAACTAAATTAAAAAAAAAAAAAATTTTTTGGACAGATCAACATATACACTTTAATGCTTACATTATAATTGTTATAATATAATTCTTTATCTGTCATTTCTTGTACATATTGCAATATCAATTTTTACTCAAATATAAATTTATAATAATTTTTTTCTGTGTACATATTCGATAAATATAATTTTTTTAAAGGAATTGAAAATGTGCTTACGTGAACTTGCTATAGTAGATGACACGTTGGAAGCTCTCGGAGTGTCAAAGGAATACCAAAGACTACGTAAATGGATAATTCAAATAATAATCGGATGGATTGCATACGTTTTTTATCAATTAATATATTCCAATTTTTTTGCTGTCTTTGTTCTTAATTTTGACATAAATTTCACCTATTTTTTTTTATGATGGGTTTTAAATTTCTGAGCAATTATCCGTCGAACGTCATTATGTTAAATATTCTGATTTTTGCAGCTATCCTTGGGTTAGTATTGTATCTGTGTATACATTTACTTTGTAACTTATTTTGACATTGTGTGTCAAAATGTTTACAATGTGAAACACATAAAGACCTTTTGGTAACATAAAAAATGTCATCATGGAAGCCATGTCAATGGAAGCCATGTCATCAACATGATCTTGACAACATAATGCTTAATGACATATGTATGTTTTCTGTATTGTCTGTACAAAACATGTATATACAATACTTATTTTAAGTTTTAAAAATATACTAAATAACAATTATTTAAAATAAATAATTAATCACTACTTTTCATTGTTAAATATTTATAAGAGATGACCATCTTTAGAAAACGCTGATAAAGAAGAAAATGTTGAGTTGTATGAATAAGTAATGTAATCGAATAAACATACGGTCAAAATTTCTACCTTCAATGAACTTGATCTTGATATATAACGTCATAAAAAAAATAACAGTAAAAATAATGATAAAATTGTAACATAAAAGATAAGGGTAAATTTATCATAAAAGAGTAATGAAAACTAACGTAAAAGTAACCCTCGTCCCTGGCTGTAAGGGAGAGCCGTGCCGCATGTCAATAAGTAGTAGTTATGATACGATTGAATTAGACACTATGCCTCCTAAATTTGTATAAAATTCGGCATAAAAGTTTCATCTTTGTGTTCGTAGCATGCATGCAAAAATTTGAACGGCCCCGGAGGGGCTTAACTGCATAAAACTTGTTTCTGCTGTAAAATTTTTACGCTCTTTCCAAAAGTCTCCGCGTCTTTGATACATTAACGTCTATGATGATATGAGCATGAGCGATGTAACTTCATAGTTTCAAATTGGAATACGAAATGACGTAATGTGATGTTTGGAATTTACTGTTATAGATTTTCAGCGATTTTTGCGCGTTTTGGTCAAGGAAATATTAGGTATAAAGTCTTTGCAAAAAGTGATTGGAATAGGAAATTTACACTTTTCGTAAAAATGAATATTTAATTAAAAATGAATATTTAGGTGCCAGCAACCGGACATGCACTGTAGTATCGGTTATTAACATAAAGTTAATTTATTTATATTATTATTTAGAGATGTTGCTCATAATATGTTAAAGAGTACGAAATATAGGATATCTGTCATTAAATTCCAATTATCCGACCAAATAATAAATTTTATCTTGCGAGATATCTGAAAAGAGATTTCCAAAGATAAAAGAAAAATGGCATGGTCCTTTAACCAATGATACTTTAACAAAAGGTCTTTTAAGGGAGTCTTTATGTTTAAAAATCGATTTTGAAAGCATTCTTTGAGAATTTTTTTAATAAATAAAAATTTAGATATAGTCAAAAACTAATACAAGTCTAGAAAATACAATGTATGCATAAAAAAATATATTTTTTGTAATGTTAATGTTTTAAAATAGTAATAAGATAGCGCTGAAATTAAGCATGCACCGCGAATATGGTTAAACGGTCAAGGTATAGAGCGTATTGTCTCATAGAAAAAGTAAAGCTTTTTCTTATGTTATGTGGACTCCCACGACTCTTTTCTTTCGTGGAGATCTGGAACTCGTTGAAATAAGAAGACAGCTACTAATAATGCATAAATTGAGCGTTGTAGCCTAAGAGAAGACTAAAAATTTTCTTTTCCCACATTAAAAACTAAAACGAAGAATCCAATATCTCCTCGTAAAAATGTATTACTAAATATTGGTTTTTATTATAGTACTATTAAATTAAACCCTCATTTGTTAATTTGAAAAATCTCTCCTTGTATTTATTGTAAGCTCTCCCGCGATTGCACTTCGCTCTCTCCCCGGTCACTTGGATTAAGTTCCATAACCAAAAGCCAAGGCATGTGAACGTACCGGCACATCTGGCGTTAAAGTGCGCCCCTCCCGGCACACTGACCCAGTTTGCGTCCTTTAAATTAAAAGTAAGTCTGACTCGTGTGTCCGTTTAGCAGAGCATGAGTTGAAATTTCCTTCGTCCTCCGACCCCCGGCTCGTTAAGAACCTCAGGACGAAGCGAAGTGCCTCCCGATTTGCGGTCTTTCCCCTGGGCTTCTTCCTTGCAGTCCGGATTCTGGACATGACCAAATCGATCTAATAATTTGGTTCCTGCTGCGTTCACCCCAGCTCCATGCATGCGGAGTTTGAACGTAATACTTATAATAAATGAACTTGTAATTCTCGCCCGAATTAGAATAATTAATATCATATTTTCAAAATGGCAACAGTTCGAAAAAATAATTCGAATTTTCCTCACATTTTTCCATTTATTTGATTTTCAAGAAAATAGAAAAAATTAATATAGACTATTAATTCTAAAGCGATAATGACATATTTTCTGAGTATAATGTAAAAATAGAAGTCAGTCGAACTTTCACTTTTTTTGGAATTGTGATGACCATATTCAAAAACAGGAAATAAAGTTTTGAAATATTTTAAAACATGTACCGCTCCGTTTTCCGTTAGAAAGTGACGCTCAGATGAGAACGAAATTCATTTTACTGGAAACGTTCTAGAATGAAAAGTTGAATGTAAATAATGGCGAGCGCCGGTTATAGTAATTGGTTGGTGCGCCCTATTATCATTTTATCTCGTATATCTTGAATAATTTTTGTTTCTTCCAAAAAACATTTTTGTGAGATATTCTTGTGAAATATATAAGCTTTCAAAAACAGCAAAAATAATTGATATTTTTTACCCCTAAAACGTAAAAACTCCCTTAACAAAATGCATTTGTTCAATGTTTTTAGCAATTGTTTAGCAATTTTGTTTAACATTTCTCAGTTTACTGATTGAAAAATTGTTATTTTCTGTAAGACGCGTAGTTTTCTAATGGCTTTCTTTTTCGTTATTTGTAAACGAATTATAGTTTAAAACAATTGAAATTAAATTATAAATTTTGGACAAAACTCATTTTGAAATTCTGCTCCTCATATATGTATAAAATATTATATTGAGACAAGTAAATAATAAAATTCTAATTTAGTCCGACTTCTAATTATTTAATTATTATTACATTAATAAAACATTAGACGTTTCGGCCACAATCTGGCCATCTTCAGTAAATTCACAATATTCTTAAAACGCAGAATTACATATAGCTGATATTAAATTCAATCGTCGTGTAATATAACTATATATAAACGTGTTCTTTCATCGTGTGAAGGTGCCTCGTACAACAATGTTGCAGTGCCAATTGTCAAATTACGAAAAATGTAGAACAAGAATATCTAGATTCTAATTTAACAAATTAACTTATTATAGTTTTTAATATCTTATAGTCGAAATATATGAGAATATAATCGTTTTCTGTTTTACAGCAAAAAAATGATGAATCTCAAGTACATCCTTTACACAGATGGAAATTTGTCGTGACATTGTGTGTTATTATTTGTCATATCATATATGTTACCACTATTTATATGTATGTTTCAAAAATTTAGATTGTTCTAGAATTATTTATTAAGTGTGAGAGAAATCTTTCTTAAGAAAAAGCAGATAAACATCGGGCAACGATTCAGTGTCACTTTGCTTATTGATACTACTTATTTGGCTTTTAATGTATATCATTTCAGGGATTCTTCTTTTCATTAATGATTGTTCTGTGTCTAAAATTCTGATATTATCCCAATCCAATACTTTACTTAAATATAGTATTATGAAAAACTTTTTCTTTAAATTAGAATTAGAGTCACTTTCGTTATTGTTGTGATTACTATTTTTATCTAAATTAGTTCTACTTTCTAAAGTTTTAATTTTATTTTTTATTGAAAAGATGAATTTAAGAGGATAACCATTCATTAACAGAGTGTGAATTAAGTCGGAGATGTTTTTTTCCTGAAATTTTGGATGGGATAAAAGCAATATTCTATCTAATTGCCCAATGATTACACCCCTTTTATGTATTAACGGATGATTCGAAAAATAATTTAAATATCTCCCTGAATTGGTAGGTTTTTTATAAATATCAAAGATTCTTCCAAAGATTCTTCCTTCTTGTCTCATTAGTTTAACGCCTAAAAAATTAATTTTCATCGCCAAAGTCAATTGTGAATCTTAGCCTTTCATGATATGAATTAAACAATTCCAGAACATTCTCCGCTTTATCTTTATGCACCGCTAATACAGTGTCATCAACATAACAGAAATAAAAAGACGAGATAATATTATTAGTAGTAATAATTTCTTGTTCTAAGTCTTGTAGAACAATATTCACTAATATAGGGGACAATGGAGAGCCTATTGGCATGCCAAAAATCTGTCTAAATATTTTTTTGTCGAATTTAAAAAATGTAGAATAAATTATAATCATAATTGTTTTGATAAACTCATGTAAAGGAATCGAAGTCTTGTTTTCAATCAGTTTTGTTTTCATTTACATTCAATACTTTTTAAAAAATATAAGAACTAAATCGGTCGGAATGTTCGAGACCACGTCAAATGATATAATACTGAAGTTTTTATCGATTACCTTTCCATTGAGTTTATTTACAATATCAAAACTGTTTTTTACATAACTGAAATTCTTTGTATTATTATTATCTATATTATCTTTTAGCAAGGTCGCCAATGGATAAAAAGCACTGTTTATGCAGCTAACTATCAATCTTAGCGGATGATCTTCCTTATGAATTTTTGACAGTTCAAGAACTCGGAAGTTCGCCGTCCGATACATACAATTTTTTGTATATGTTTAGGTCAATGTACCCCTTGTTTTTCCTTTTTTAGTAAGTTACTAATTTCCATTGTTATTTTGTTAGTGAGATCTTTATTTATTAAAGTGTATGTGCTCTGATCACTGAGAATCTCATACATTTTCCCTATGTAACTTTCACAATTCATAATTACTGTTGTATTACCTTTATCGACTCTGGTAATTAAAATGTCCGAATTCTCTGAGATGAATCGCTTTACTTTCCTTACACCTTCTCTTATGATCTACTATTCTCAGACGATTTAATGTCACAATTATTTATTGATTTAAGTATTTGAATTGTTTCATTCCTGACAGACTTACAAATTTCGTCATCAGCTCTGAAAAGGTTATATTCAACATGTTTAATGAACTCGAGCATACTCCTTTTTTTGCCAAACAAGTAATATCAATAAGCAAAGTGACACTGAATCGTTGCCCGATGTTTATTTGCTTTTTCTTAAAAAAGATCTCTCTCACACTTAATAAATAATTCTAGAACAATTTAAATTTTTGAAACATATATATAAATAGTGATAACATATATGATATGACAAATAATAACACACAATGTCATTACAAATTTCCATCTGTGTAAAGGATGTACTTGAGATTCATCATTTTTTTACTGTAAAACAGATAACGATTCTATTCTCATATATTTCGATTAGAAGATATTAATAATAGGTTAATTTGTTAAATTAGAATCTAGAAATTCTTGTTCTACATTTTTCGTAATTTGACAATTGGCACTGCAACATTGTTGTACGAGGCACCTTCACACGATGAAAGAACATGTTTATACATAGTTATATTACACGACGGTTGAATTTAATGTCAGCTATATGTAATTCTGCGTTTTAAGAATATTGTGAATTTACTGAAGATGGCCAGATTGTGGCCAAAACGTCTAATGTTTTATTAATGTAATAATAATTAAATATCACAAATAATATCTTGTGCGGTGGTTTTTATGCTCTTCTTTTCTTAAATTTTGATTTATAAACTACGTTCGTTTTTATTATGTATTCTAATTATTTATTAACGCAATTAGCGTTAATATGCTTATACATAATGCATATATTATAAAGTTAATAAAAGGTATGACTATTTTTTTTCAATTTAGATGCATAAGCTCCAGATTTCATCGAATCAATAAATGTTTACGTGTATTATGTCCTGATTTGTTCGAAAGTAGTACAGATTATAGAAGACAAAATAACATACATCTTTGTGCATCAGCAGATAACAGGAGCTAAGGATCACAATCAATATATATGGATTATAATGTAATAATTATTTAATAGAATTACTGTGTACACACATGCACGCGCATGTATAGAGAAATATGTATAGAGAATGTCTTAATCTAACTGTCACATCACATATTTCAAAAAGTATAATATAAAAAAAGTTTTCTATGAAAGTACAACTGCTTTGAGAAAAGCGTAATGTGATTATTTTTTTCTAAATAGAGATACGATGAGAGACGCAATGAAAAAGACGTTATATTTATTTGCGCATTTTAAAATGGAATTTTTGATTTTTTAGTATGATTTCTCTATAATCATTCTATGTAAAAGTATTAAGTTAGAAATATAAAATATCAATAATTTACGAGATATTATAGATACAACAGCAAATAATACAAAAGTATACACCACACGTAAGGTGTCCGAAGCTAGAATTTTATATTTCAATAGATTAACAATAAAATAAACGTTTTGGCCTCAAATTAGGCTATCTTCAGTATTACAAAGTTTCTTTCTCTAACGCATACATACATATTTGCGAAAACTGTATTAGAGTTGCATGAATCACGTTAACCTTGTTCAACAAGAACGCTCGTTACATATAGATATATTTTTCTTTTCTGGAGAATTATTATTAAAAGAAGTTAGCAGTTGTATAGTCATATGCTCAAGAGGAATATGTCTAATATTCTGATCCGTTTAATTCCCGTTATGGATCATTCTTAGTTATTGAACACATAATTTCCAAATTCTAATGGGCATGCATGATATTTAATTGACTATACATTTTTTTATAAAAATTTTTTTACTAGAATAAAATGAGTAATATGATACCTGTGTATTATATGGAGAACATCCATAAGTATTACCAAGACGTGGCTACTCTGTTGTAACAATTCTAATAGTGAAGATGTTATGTTCAACTCTCATCATGACTGTCAGCTTATAAATAGTTTTGTAGAGATCTTGATGGAGGGGATAACTCGGGAGTTGGGGAAGATATGTTAAGCAATGGAAAGTATGATTCTGGCAATTGCTCCGTATCATTTTGTTTGTTTATCGCGTTAGTCTGTTTTTTTATATATATCATTTCAGACGTAAATCTTTTTTGAAAATTCCTTATTCAATATCTTAATCTTCTCCCAGTTTAATTTCATATTCTAGCTTATGATCTGAGACTATCGACATTTTCTTCACAGTTAATAATCGAATGAAAACATTATCGAAAAAAAACAATATGCAGATATGATTACTAACATTAATGATTCTAATAATAACTTATTAAAAAAAGATTTTACCATACGTCAGTAATATTTCTGAAAAATTCAAAATGCTCGCTTTGCCTTGCATCACGTGCGTGCGTACGTGTGCATATGCATGCGTGCGTGCGCGCGTGCGTGCGTGTGATGTGTGTGTGTGTCATTTGTATTACTAAACACATAATTTTTGTATAACAGTTACCTCTGGCTCTTACCTCTTACTCATTCGAAAATTGTTCTCCAGGAATAATTTAAGAATAAGCATTTAAGAATAAGCATTAATACATGTCTGCAAAGTAGACTCTTAATGTTGAGAATGACAAAAAGTTTCGAAATTGAGATTTTCTTTATCATTTCTTAGTCGAATGTGCTCCAGAACTGTTACGTCGTAACCACATTTGCTTCATATAAAAGCTGTACAATGTGTACTTATGAAATAGTAATCCACAGACTAGCAGTTAGCACGAAGAAGCAATGTGGATTTTTTTAAATTGAACTTAGACATCCAATTAGAGCATTATTGTTATATGAAAATTTATGTGTATCTACATGTGCGTGAGATATTGATGTAGTAGTAATGATGTAGTATGTAATGATGTATCGATGACATGTAAATCGTCTGTGTATAAGTGCTACAATATTTACAATATGAATATTTGTCTTTACGATCCTCTTAAAACTATACGGTGGAAAAAATTTAAATTCGAATGGGTGTTATAATTGATTAAATGTAGAGGCAGAGAATTAAGTATGTTTTATACATATTTTCAAAATGATAACGAAATTGTAAAAAATTACAAATTATTCTAAATCACGTTTAAAAATAATGTGACAAAAGTGACTATCTGGATAATAAGTTTTAATAAATAGTAATATTTTTTTAATCTGTGTTCTAATAAAAATATATGAAAATGCATTATATAAAATGTTATAGAATAAATGTTAAATATCTCAATTTTTTAATGTAAGTACATTTAATATATGTATTCAGGATTATGGACGTAGAGTTACATTGCGGTGCATGAACTTGTCCAATAAATAAACAAAATACTTATTTGTTCTATGTCTTTGTAAGTAATCAATGAATCGCTATGAAACTTTGCTTTTTTAAATAAATTATTTTATGTGAATATTTAAAGCACTTATAAAAGAAAAATGTAAATCATTAAAAGAATTTTAATATTTAACACTAACAATCACAGAAAATAATAACAATTAAAATAAATATATTACAAAAATGTGTTATTAAACAAAAATATGATTTTGTTCACACAACTTTTATATGTACCGGGTGTCTCAGAGCACCCGTACCACCCTTTTAAA